TGCTCCCTCAGCTGCTCTATTACCTCCACAAATCTGTTGGATCCACCAACAGGCAGACAGGAACTCCAGTGTCTCCAAGTAGGGTGAAGGGGGCTTGGAGAGGAGGACTCTGGGCCTGCATCCTTCGAGGAGTTGTTGGTTTGTTAAGTTTATTTTATCCTTGTAAATAGCTTTGTTTTGATGTCTTTTCGATTTGGAAGGTCAGCAAAGGACACATGAGCAAATATCTAGCAAGGCTCTGTTTGGCATGCCAGAGGGGTTCCTAGGGGATGCCGAAGAAAAGAAGCCCTGATTTCCTAGTACCAATTAAATAAAAACCCAGTCCCTGATATATCTAACATGGGACTTGCCACCATATGAAGATATACCACATTGTCTAACATCACATGGAACATACAATATATATATTTAAAAATAAAAGATTAAAAAAACAACACATAATTACACATTTATACAGTAAATGAGAGACACCTGGTTAGAGCAGGTTAGAACAGGCTCAGTTACTTTCTCTAGTTAACTTAAACTGGCCCAAGGTGTTCCTTCGCTATCTAACAGAGTCTTTACAGGCCATTCCCCTGCCCTATCCTTTTCTTCTTTTGACGTTCACACTGTCCGCCTATTTAAACCCACTCCTTTAAGAATTGCTATCATCTACCGCCCCTCTGGTTATCCTAGACTATTCATTGAGCACTTTTCTTCCTGGCTTCCCCACTTCCTCTCATCTAGCACTCATTCCCTTATACTTGGGGATTTCAATATCCCAATCAATAACCCCAATTGCACTGATGCCTCTTGTCTGCTCTCTGTAACCTCCTCCTTTGGCCTTGCGCAATGGTCCAATCTAGCAACCCATACAGCAGGAAACACTCTTGATCTTGCCTTCACCAACCTCTGTACTGCCTCTAATCTCTCCAATATTCCCTTTCCTCTATCTGACCACCATCTGCTGACTTTTGACATTGGCATACCTAAGACCCAACTGATACCACCATCTGAACATCACTCTCACAGAAACCTCAAATGTCTTGACCTAGAGCATTTCTCCACTAATCTCCAAACTCTCCTTTTACCTATCTCAAACCTCACCTGTCCTAGTTCTGCAACCTCCTTCTACAATTCCACCCTCTCCTCTCAACTAGACATCATGGCACCTTGTACATTTAAACGCCGCAGGCCACCCCAACAACAATCCTGGCACACCAAGCTCACTCGATACCTCTAAAAATGCTCCAGAACTGCTGAACGCTGTTGGAGAAAGTCTCACTGAGCATCTGACTTTCTCCACTATAAATTTATGCTGAGCTCATACAGCTTGGCTCTTTCCTCTGCAAAAGTTAATTACTTCAATACTCTCATAACCACACTTTCCCGCGAACCCAAACGACTATTTCACACATTTAACTCTCTTCTTCGCCCAGCTGTTCCTCCTCCACCTACTAACTTGACCGCCTCAGACTTTGCAACTCACTTCACTGACAAGATCTCTACAATCAGAGAAGAGATCTCTCATCTTTCTTCTTCCCCTTATAATACTTCCCCTAACTTCACTCCCTCTGCTGTTCTATGTTCATTCGCACCCGCTACATTGGAAGAAGTTTACGCTCTGCTCCAGTCCTCCAACCCCACCACCTGCTCCCTAGATCCAATTCCATCGCATCTCATCCGTACTCTGTCTTCTTCTCTTTCTCCACCTCTCACTAAAATTCTCAATCTCTCTCTCTACTCCGGTATATTTCCATTGCCCTTCAAACATTCAACTATAACCCCAATTCTAAAGAATCCCAATCTTGACCCTAACTCCCCATCCAACTATCGTCCTATCTCGCTACTGCCTTTTGCATCCAAGATCCTTGAAAAAATTGTGTATGTGAGATTGACAGACTTCCTCGAGTCCAACTCTCTGCTAGACCCGCTTCAGTCTGGTTTCCGCGCTAAGCACTCTGTGGAAACGGCACTGACCAAAGTATCTACTCGCTGCAAAATCTCGTGGTCACTACTCTATCCTAATTCTCCTTGACCTGTCTGCGGCTTTTGACACGGTTGATCATCAACAGCTTCTTCTCATCCTTCGCAATATCGGTCTACAAGATACTGCTCTCTCCTGGTGCTCATCCTACCTCTCCCAGCGCTCTTTCAATGTTTCTTTCTCTGGCTCTGCTTCTTTTCCAAAACTCCTCTCTGTTGGTGTCCCCCAAGGTTCAGTCCTTGGTCCCCTACTGTTCTCCATCTATACTACCTCCCTTGGTAAACTCATTAGCTCCTTTAGGTTTCCAATATCATTTCTATTCAGATGACACGCAAATTTACCTGTCCTCTCCTGATCTCTCCCCGTCCCTCTTGACTAGTGTCTCTGATTGCCTCTCTGCTGTTTCTAACTGGATGGCTGCCCACTTCCTTAAACTAAACTTGACCAAAACTGAAATTCTGGTCTTTCCTCCCTCAAGTGTTGTTACTCCTGTGTCTGTCTCCCTCCAAGTCAACGGTGCTACCATCTGCTCCACCACGCAGGCTCGCTGCCTAGGTGTTCTCTTTGACTCCGACCTCTCCTTCAAGCCTCATGTTCAATCTATCGCCAAATCCTGTCATTTCCATCTAAAAAACATTGTGCACATGCGCCCCTACTTAACGCCAGATGGTCCATTCCACTGTCCTTTCTCGCCTTGACTACTGTAATCCGCTTCTCAGTGGTCTTACGTGCTCCCAACTAGCGCCGTTACAGTCCATAATGAATGCGGCGGCGAGGCTCTTCTTCCTGTCCGCACGCACCTCCCATGCCTCACCCTTCTGTCAATCCCTACATTGGCTTCCTATAAAATATAGAGCTCAATTTAAAATTCTGGTTCTTGCTTTCAAATCTCTACATAATGTTGCTCCCACCTATCTATACTCCCTTATACACAAGTATGTCCGTCTAGGCCCTTACGATCTGCTGAAGACTTACGTCTATCTTCTGTCCGTACTCCCACCTCTGATACTCGCCTTCAAGATTTCTCGAGGGCTGCACCATTCCTGTGGAACTCGCTTCCCTCCTCCGTTAGATGCTCACCCAGTCTCCATTCCGTCAAAAAAAAAAAAAATCGCTAAAAACCCACTTCTTCATAAAAGCGTATCCATTAAACTGTTAATAGCTCCTGACTGATTTCTCTTCTGCAACTGTCATTAGTCTAATACTATCCTTACCTTTTTGTGTCATTTTACCCCACTCCCTCTAGCCCTCAACCCCTCTGTTCCTGTGTGTCCAACTTGTCTAGTTACAACTAGACGTCTGTAAGTCCACCCATTGTAAAGCGCTGCAGAATTTAAAAGCGCTCTATAAATATCATAATAATAATAAAATAATAATATATTGAATAAAGAAAGTGGATTTGCATTAAAATGTTTTTTCAGTCCATGTTGTGAGCCAAGTCAAGGACACAGGGATGTTCTGACTAGAGTGAGCTCTGAGAGACTTTTAGGTGGGCACTGTTTGACTGTCTGCAGACAGGTTATGGGTCCCTTGGTTCGCCTCACTTGGGAGATTGTGGTCTCCTCCACTATTTCCTATTTGGCTTGGTGTCTTGAGACAGGTGACAGATTTTTCCTGAGCTCAGCGCCAACTCAGACACAGACACGGATGCTCAGTGCCAACAAAGTTGGCAGTATACATTGTACATAGTTTTTTGTTATCCTTGGTTGTACTTCTCTGTCGAATCCCTTGATCATCTGGGTATAGCTCATAGTGCCTTCCACTTGGCTTCACAATTTCCTTTTATCTCTCCCCACTGATTGTTACTTCCATAACTGCAAGAGGGTTGAATAAACCTAAGTGGAGGTCGACTGCTCTGAGGGAGTTTCAAGCCCGCAATGCTTCACTGGTCTTTGTGCAGGAGAAACACTACCGGGCAGAATCTCAAACCAAATTCATGATTCATATCCAGGGGTACAGCTATCCTTCTGCGTAAAACAGTAACATTTCAAGAGTGCTCGGTTCTGGCTGAAGGGGGGGGGGGGGGTTCACTTTATTTTCATTAAGGGCACAATTATAGATTTTACCCTGTTTTGGTACAAATATCTATGTATTAAACAGGGAATACCATAGATTCCCATCTAAAACACTACTACAGTTACAGAATTTCACAGAGGGAATTTTGGAATTGGGAGGGGATTTTAATTTGGCCATGAAGCATCACTTGGATTCCCCCACAGGCACTTCACCCGTTCCCAAAAAACACCAGCATATATTTAATTCGTAGTGTACAAAGACCTCTCCTTCTCTCTCATTCGATCATTGAGTTTGACATATTCTATATATAACAACGCTGTATATTATATTTCAGGACTTTTTTCTCTGTCTGAATATGTTGTAATTGTACGTAATGCATATCAAGCACGATTCAAACGGAACACAAGCAGAAGGCAAGATGCTGAGAGGCGGAACCAGAAGTTAGATTGACAACAAGGCTGGAGGCACACTTAGTGGGAAAAAGGTTTCACATGGACACGGCGGTGCCAAGAGGAATTTTAAAAGCGGAGCAGACTGACTGGGGGAGATATCTGAGAAGCAACAAGCACCCTGACGATTTGTGTCACACAAAGAACAGGCTTACAAGACACTCTTTCTCTGGCACCTTACGCCCCAAAGACTACACAAAATGGGATCAATACCAACTGCGGACTGCTAGGAACTATGTAGTGGGATAGGCTCGTACCTCAGCTGGTGGTCATGCCCAAAACTGCAGGGATTCTGGCTGGAGATCCAGTCATTTATAGATTTAATACTAGGAATGCCTGTCAAGGTTGAACACCCCAACACGAGACAACAATAAAGGCAAGCACAAGCAGACGTATTACCGGACCTTAAAGTGGCCGGCCTTAACGTGAGGAACTTAGAGATAAGAATATTCAGACAAGCCAAGGTCAAGGTTAGAGAAGTACGAGCAAGCGATAAACAAAGCCAAGGGTCAAAGGAGCCAGAAATTATAATAACCAGAAACAAACCAAAGTCAGGAACCAAAGCAAGACAAGTATACAGAACGTGCTCTCGGGCTACAATAAACCATGACAGGAAGTGATGTCAGAGGGAGGTTAATATAAGGTAAGGTGTAATTTGATAGGTAGGGACAGAATGAGGCAGGATATAAATAGATAGAAGTAATAGGCTACTATCACTTTAAGGATTGCTGGTTGTCACGCTTACCCCTGTCGGCTACCCTCTGCGCACGCGCACGTCCCCGGACGCGCTCCCAGACACGCAACTGAGCGACACAGCAGGAAAGGATGGACGGCGGGACCGGGACGGCGCGGGCTGCGAGGTATGACAATGCCATTCCCAGTAGACCCATGGGAGAATCAAGAGCCAACAGATGGACACCCACCCATGCCACTGGAAAACGTAAAATCCAGAGGCTCTAGAGATGGACAGACTGACAGCCAAAACAAGAGCATTATTAGACAGTTACTCAACCACAGAGCCATGGTTACAAGCTGCGCATTACCTGCCATGGACAACACAACAAATGAAACACAGCTACTGTGGCCAATAACCCTCAACTCCCCTGTTCAAAGTTGATCTTTGATTATTCTCTTTAGCAATGTATCCTTTTCTTCAAGCAAGAACCCAGAAGACATACCTTACGGGCAACAGACGGAGCAATATTTACTCAGTTTGACAGGCCCTCATAGAAGTTTGCAGGGTCTGACCGAAACAACATTGTTTATCATGCAAAATTTACCTGTCTACAACTGTGCTGTATTATGTTATTAACCAATGCATTGTGATTTTATCACACTTTGTAGTTTTCATTTTCTGTAAAAAACAAAAAACAAAAAACGGAGCACACGGAATTGGAGTTTATTCCGGTATTTGAAAGCAATTTATGCCCTTGAGGAGGCCCAAGTATTTGAACAAAACAAGTAGGGCTGTTTTAATTTTAATTTACATTTTATCTACTTGTTTTATTTTGTGTCCAGGTGTTTTTTTTCTATTGACTATTTGGATGCCCTGGGAATACTCAGAGAATCTGGAGATCCTTGGCCCTGTCTTACTTGGTGACATGCCCATACTCTTTTAGTGCAACATATAGTAAATTAGAATTTTATTTTGATGTGTCTGCTTTCTTTTTACCCCTACATGTCCAAATAACCTGGGAGTATAAGAAGAATTTTGTGTCCACTATTGTGTGATATACTTACAATCAATCTACGGTTCGTGAGTGCAATTTTCCACTTATTTTATAGTTGTATCTAGAGTATTACACTATATTTAGTTTCTTTGTTTATATCTACAATATTACACTATAGTTTTTTTTATATATTTATATGAGTATTTATATCTATATAATGTAAATATTTTGATATATCTATGAAGATTAAGATATGTCTTTTATATCTACATTTGGAAAGCATAAATATAATTTAAGATCCTTCTATATTTTTATTTCACTGGTGTTTTACAGTATACCTTTCTAGAAATAGAGATTCATAAGTCTGATGCATAGACCCATAAGGTTAACCACACTGACACACGAATATGATATATACAGGTGTAATTTCAGGCTTGTGAGGCACATTATGAATGTAATGGGTAAAGTAGAATAACTCTAAACATAGACTGACATGATTATAGAGGTGGTTGATAACCACAATGTGGTCTTGATGGGCTAAGCGAACCTTTATGCAGACTGGATTATTCACTAAAGTGTGAAGTTTCAGGATTTCAAAGCATAGCTGACTTGAAGATTTTTCTAATTTGGCTATTTTCACCTTACATTTTTAATGTACTTTTTACATATGAAGTTGACATTAGCAGTGTTACATTTCTGGCATCACATGGGAGGAGGGGGGATACACTAGACACCAACATCAATAGCAAAGACTGGACCATCGCAAACTGATGTGGACCTGAGTGCATATGTCTCTTATGAGTCATATTTTAGAACTGATGTTTATACTTGAGGTTCAGAAAATAGGAGGCATATTGAGGTTTGCATATGTAATTTTCCTAAATCTAGTCCGTACTCATAGATATATGTCTGCAGGGTAATTAATATGTTTGACAATTTTGTACAGAACAGAGATATGACACTTACGCCTTAGAAATTGTACATCCTGCACACCATGTAGTATAAAATTCCATTTGGAGGAAATCCAGCTTACGCCTATCACAACAAAGAGTATTGGATAGGGTAAGCATAACACTACAAAGAATGAAGGGAGGCAAATAAGTCCTTGCAACATAACTTACACAAGGAGCACGTGATTATAATGCTTGGAATGTCCCTTTAGACGTGTAAAATAAATGTATTGACATATACACCAAAGGAGGATACAAAACCTAGGCAAGGCAGTCTTTAACGTGGGGCAAATGGGTCAGCTACCCCAGGCCCAATTACTCTTTGGGGGCCCAAAGCAGCTGCCCCGTGGGCCCTGCTTCCCTCAACTATTTTCTCCCCAATGGGGCCGCTGGCCCGTACATTAAGGAGGCCACAGGGTGGGTATTTGTAAGCAGGGGCCCAGTCAAATGCTGTAGCCCTTTAACAGCGCGACCGGGCCCTTTGCTTTTCGGCAGCGCTGGGAGGAAGTGACGGCCGCGAGTCACTTCCTCCCACTAAGGAGAGGAGCCTCGCGGGAGATGAAGGATGGGGCCTGGGCTGGTAGAGGCAGATCCCAACTCCCAACAACATACACCTCCAGTCTGGACACCGGGGAACCACCCTCCAAGGTAGGAAACTAGAGGGTGGGCTTAAAAGTGTAAATTTATGTCAGTATGTCTGTGTCAGTATGTCTGTCAGTGTATGTGTATGTTTGTATCAGTATATGTTTGTCAGTTTATGTGTCTGTATGTGTGTCAGTATGTCTCTGTGTATGTGTCAGTATGTCTCTGTGTATGTGTGTCAGTATGTCTGTCAATGTGTGTCTGTCAGTGTATGTGTCTGCATGTGTGTCAGTATGTCTGTCAGTTTGTTTGTCAGTGTATGTGTCTGTCTGTGTCAGTATGCCTGTGTATGTCAGTATGCCTGTCATTGTATGTGTGTCAGTGTGTCTGTATGTGTGTGTGTCTATTTCTCTGTGTATGTGTGTCAGTATGTCTGTCAACGTGTGTCTGTCAGTGTATGTGTCCGTGTGTGTCAGTATGTATGTTAGTATGTCTGGTAGGGTCCAGGGGCCCCAAGCAAATGGTTGGCCTTGGTCCAGTCAATATTAAAGACAGCCCTGAACCTAGGCAATCCTGCATTTTTGCTCTTGACCACCCCTTTGGATGGGATCAGTCTAATATGCAAATTGCCCTGGTTTGTTTTGTAATAGCACAAGATGAGCTAAAATCAGGCAAGTCCCTCAAATTGCAATCAATAAAATTACATATATAAAAATATTACATAAATGTGCACGTAGAATTTAAATATATATATTCATATATTTGAAGTCTACGTGTATATTTCTGAAATTACTTATGTATATGGATATATGTATTTTGTATTATTTTTATTTTTTATACATAGATATAATTTCATTCTAAGTGTATTTTGATATACATTTATATATTCATATCAAAATACAGTTAGAATAAAATTACATATATAATATTATTTAGAATTTTTTTATTAATTTTTATTTACTTATTTATATTTTATAATATATATATATATATATATATATATATATATATACACACACGTGTGTAATTTAATTCTAAGTGTATTTTTATATTAATATATGTATATATTAATAGAAAAATACACTTAGTATGACATTATACATATATATATAAGATATATATATATATATATATATATATATATATATATACACATACACACATACATATATACGCACACACACATACATAAATATATATTTTTTTATTAACTAACATATTTTTTAATTTTACAAATGCAGGGAGACTGCCTGTCAGTTCAGGCAGCCCCCCTGCAGGCAGCACTATGGACAGGGCTGCCATCAGAAATTTTGGGGCCCCTGACACAGCTCAAGGTCTGGGCCCCCCGGGGCCTGCACCTGAGACCGCCCAAAGTGCTATCCCCCTCCCCCCTTGAGTACGCCCACAGGGATGCAGTGTCTGTACTGATTCTGGTGTGTGTATAGTGGATGTAGAATGTGTGTAAAGTGGATGCGGTGTGTGTTTAACGGATGCAGTGTGTATGCAGATTGTACATTTGTGTAATGTATGAGGTGTATATTAGATGCAGTATGTGTGTTTGTGTAGTGGATGTAGTGTGTGTTTATAGTGAATGCAGAGTGTGTTTGTGTGTATTAAAATTGATGTGTGTGTGTAGTGGATGTAGTGTGTGTGTCTTTGTGTAGTCAATGTAGTGTGTGTGTGTATAGTGACTAGATAGTGTGTGTATAGTGACTGCAGACTGTGTGTTTGTGTAGTGACTGTAAACTGTTTGTGTAGGTACTGCAGAGTGTGTGTTAGGAAGTAGTGTGTGTAGTGACTGCAGAGTGAGTGTGTGTGTGTGTGTGTGCTTGTGTAGTGACTGCATAGTGTGTGTTTGTGTTAGGACGTAGTGTGTGTAGTGACTGCAGAGTGTGTTTGTGTAGTGTGTGTAGTGACTGCAGAGTGTGTGTGTGTGTTTTGTGTAGTGACTCCAGAGTGTGTTTGTGTAAGGATGTAGTGTATGTAAATTTTAGTGTATCGTTTGTATAAATGTTAGTGTATAGTGTGTCTGTGTAAATGTTTGTGCATAGTGTGTGTGTGTAAATGTTTGTGCATAGTTAGTGTGTGTGTGTGTAAATGTATGGGGCTGCAAAATGTAGGGGGAAAAGCCTACAGTATTTTTTTTTTCCCTCCATTAATTCTAATGTTTTATTCCCCCCTCCCTGCATCTCACCTGTGGCCATGGAGGGGGGAGATCACATTGACTGGAGGTCCTGAGGAATGCTGCAGCCCCCCCGCTACCTGTATTCTGCAGGGGGCCCAGCTCACTTGAAATATACTGCCCAGATGCTCTGCTCTGTTGAAGTCGCGTCGATCGCGAGACTTTAACATATATGTGCACACATATATAGTGTTAATCTTTATGTGTGCACATAGCTAGTGTGGTGCCCGAGACGACATGAGCAGTCCGGGCCCCCCAGGACCGCCGGGCCCATGACAACCGTTATGGTTGTCATGCCCTGATGGCGGCCCTGACTATGGACACCTATTGCGGCCATGTGACGGCTCTTTCAGAGCGATCACATGGCCCGCGGGGACCTAATTTGCCGAGTGGGGACTGTCTGGGCTGTCAGATAGTCCCCCCAGATCGGAAGGAACACCGATCGCTGGCGGAGGAACGGTGGCGATCGGGTAAGTAAGGACTGCGAGGACGTAC